CGTGCACTCTTAATGTGTGGCTACTGAGGGGGCCACAAAGCCCCCAGGATGGTGCAAGTCTTGTGGTCAAGTCCAGCCACATGGTGCCTGAGAAAGCCTCAGCTTCCAGTGTTCAATTTGACAACCGATTTTAAAATTGGTTTGAAATGTTACAGCTCCGAAGTTCCCACACCTAGAGAGCCATCAGGATCACATGGGGGGACTTTTAAAGAAACAGATTCCCAGGCTCCAGTGTTTCTCAGCCAATCAGTCCAGGGTGGAGCCCGAGAATTTGAGCTGTTTTTTTTTTTTTTTTTTTTTGGTTTTTAGGTGAAAGGCTTGGAACTAGGGGTTCACTGTGTGTACTACAAAAGTTGTAGACCCCTACACGCTTACCTCCCAGTGCGGGAAAAATGCAGTGCACGCTTGGGGGTCAGCTGGAAGGTTTGTGCCCCTTGAGATCGCAGCTTGATACAGCCTCCCACTCCCATTTTGGGAATTCTACCTTGTGAAAGTCCAAACACTTCTCCAGCTTTTCTGTGACCTTGCAAGGACATTTGGCCCCTTCTTGTGGTGCGCGGGCCTCTCACTGCTGTGGCCTCTCCCCTTGCGGAGCACAGGCTCTGGACGCGCAGGCTCAGTGGCCATGGCTCACGGGCCCAGCCGCTCCACGGCATGTGGGATCTTCCCGGACCAGGGCACGAACCCGCATCCCCTGCATCGGCAGGCGGACTCTCAACCACTGCGCTACCAGGGAAGACCTGAGCTTATTTTTAAGCTCTGGGGTTATTGAATCCATACTGGCTCTTAATGATCCCCACTGCCCTTTCTGAACACCCACAGACAATTGCTTCCAGAAGGCCACGTCTCTGTGGCTCTCTTCTGCAGTGGCCTCTCTGCACAGACTGGACCGTGGCCCTCTGACCATGGCGCCTGGCTCAGAGCAAATACCAGTTCTTTAACCGGTAGCCCAGCAAAGCTGTGGGTTGGGGACAGGGTGAGTTTCCAAGTGTTCCCTTACTTGGGATACCTCTCCTGCCCTGGCCCTCCATTCCATCATCCCACCATGGCTCCTTGGTTCTGCAGGATGGAGAAGCAGGGCAGCATGGGAAGTGAATGGCTCCACTTCAGGGCCGGGACTAGGGTGAGGCGAGGGCGGCACTGACCTCGGGTGTAACATTTAAAGTGGCACCAACAAAAAGAACTTATTTACAAAACAGAAACAGACTCACAGATTTCGAAAACAAGTTTATGGTGACCAAAGGGGAAACGTGGAGGGGAGGGATAAATTAGGAGGTTGGGATTAACATACACACACTACTGCATATAAAATAGATAACCAACAAGGACCTACTGTATAGTACTCAATATTCTGTATATTCTATATAGGAAACGAATCTGAAAAAGAATGAATATAGGTATATGTATAACTGAATTCTTATGTTGTACACCTAAAACTAACACAACATTGTAAATCAACTATACTCCAATAAAATTTTTTAATAAAAACATTTAAAAAGCGGCACCTACAAACTCAGTCATCAAGAGAATATTTTAATGCCATATATTTTTAAATCAAATTAGTTAAATTGATGCAGAAAAATCCATGCTGAATAAAAGATCTACATTTTAAATAAAGACAGGATCAGTAATGGGGCCAAGCCATGTCTGAGGACGAGGTAAAAGGAAAGATAAGTCACAGAAATGATGCAGAAAGAGAGAGTTCAGAGAATGTATTACCTTGCTCCCTCCGCACCAGGCTGCAGGCTGGCCCTGGTCCGTCTCCAACCCCCACTGGTACAGCCCCTGTCCAGCACCCCTCCTGCAGAGGCATCACAGCTCTTGCTGCTTTGGGGACCCACCCTCCCTGCCAGCTCAGGCTCACGTGTAGAGGTCTTAGCTGCTCCCTGCTGCAGCTTTTCCTAACGTCTTCTCTTCCTTCACCCTGCCCACACCTGGCCCTCCTGTGTATACTGTCCCTGCATTAAACCGAAAGAGAGAGAGAGAGAGAGAAAGGAAGGAAGGAAGGAGGAAGGAAGGAAGGAAGGAAGGAAGGAAGGAGGGAGGAAGAAAAGAAATGATGCGGGGAAAAATATTAAAATTCTAAAAATATCCTTAGAGAGAGAAGCTATTACATCCATGACACAAGAACAACAGGAGACTATTTTTTAAAGAAATGATCAGAAAAGAATAAACAGCTCTTGGAAATGAAAAATATGAGAGTAGGAAAAAAATCGGTAACATTAAGAAAATAAGGCTGAGAATATCTCCCAGAAAGTGGATCAACAACAACAATTACAAGCAAACTAACAAATAGACAACAAAAAATGCAAAGGGATAGAAACAGAAGAGAGAAGAAAGTTTGGGGATCAATCCCTGAGATGGACATCTAATTGAGGGGTCTGGTAGAAAGAAGAGAGTACGTAGAGAAAAGATGATCAAAGCAATAAAACAAGAAGACCTTCCAGAACTGGTGAATATAAGTCTCCAGGTTGAAACAGTCCGTCAAGTGTCCAGCGCAGTGAGAGAGAAAGAGTCCAAACAGGCACTTTCAGAATGCTGGGGTTAAGGGAACACCCCTGAAAGCTTCCAGAGGCGGAAAAAGCAGGCATCTACAAAGATGGGGCGTAAGCACATCAGACCTCTCAACGGTGACATCAGAAGCCAGAAGACCATGTGAGATGCCCGCAAACTTGTGAAGGAAAATTATTTTTAATATAGAATTCTATATTCAGCCAAACCATCAATCAAGTGTGAGGATACAATGAAGGCATTTTCAGATGTGCAAGTTCTCCTCTTCTGTAACCTTTCTCAGAAAGCTAAACAAACAAGGGAATGAAGCGGGGAAGAAAAGACACAGGGTCAAGAGAACAGGGTGCCTAGCAAGGAGAGAGATTAAGGGAGTTCCAGGATGAGGGAGAGCGAGGTCCCAGGATGGCTGTGGGCAGGCAGGCGAGCACCCGGCCAGGTTGAAGAAGGATGACGATGGCTGAGAGGTTTCCAAAAAAAAGCAAAAAAACCAAAAACTGACAGGTTTGACCACACCAAAAATTATATTTAAGGCCAATGGATGTTTAAGAATATATAGCAATGGACTTCCCTGGTGGCTCAGTGGTTAAGAATCCACCTGCCAACTCAGGGGACACAGGTTCGAGCCCTGGTCCAGGAAGATCCCACGTGCTGCAGAGCATCTAAGCCCGTGCACCACAACTACTGAGCCTGCGCTCTAGAGCCCATGAGCCACAGCTACTAAACCTGCGCGCCACAACTACTGAAGCTCGCATGCCTCGAGCCTGTGCTTTGCAACAAGAGAAGCCACTGCGATGAGAAGCCCGCACACCACAACGAAGAGTAGCCCCCCTCGCCGCAACTAAAGCCCGCACGCAGCAACGGAGACCCAATGCAGCCAAAAATTAATTAATTAATTAATTTAAAAAAAGAATATATAGCCATGGTAAGTACAAAAAACTAAGAAAGTAGGTGGGGATTGGGGGCAGGAAAAGCAAAAATGATGCAAGAAAGTAAACAGTGATATTATCCTGATTGGATTAGTGGTGAACAATATTTACCTGATTACGATAAAAAGCAGAGCATATGGATTTAACAGTTATATTGAGAGTGTTAAACCACGCTCGGGGGAGTAGATAAAAGGCATATAAAAGGCACTCTTCATCTATACAACAGGCAACCAACAGATAATGTCTAAATGGATTTATTGACAGGTAGCAGTGTAAGCAAATTACTTAGAAATGACCTCCAGGAGAAGATGCCCAAAGTGACACCTTCTGAGAGAGGGGTGGGCAGGTCCGGAGGAGAGGGGCGGACTGGTGTGTTTTGTTTTCTGATTTTAGCACTATTTGGCCTTTTTTTTTTTTTTTTATTTTGCAGTATGCGGGCCTCTCACTGCTGTGGCCTCTCCCGTTGCGGAGCACAGGCTCCGGACGCGCAGGCTCAGCGGCCATGGCTCACGGGCCGAGCTGCTCCGTGGCACGCGGGATTCTCCCAGACCGGGGCACGAACCCGTGTCCCCTGCATCGGCAGGCGGACTCTCAACCACTGCGCCACCAGGGAAGCCCTATTTGGCCTTTTTGACTGCGTGCGCTTCTTGGATTTAAAAAATTAGTTACTAAACATAAAATAAAGCAATGCCAAGAAGGCCATCCTCTTGTTGCTTCTCTTTTCATAGTTTTTCTGCATCCTGAGAATCCACCCTCTTCACCGGCAGCCATGGGCGCCTCCACACACAGCCATGGGCACATTCACACTCACACGGTCTCTCTCACACACACACACACACACACACACACACACACACACACACTCATCTCAGACACAGCAGCTCATCGTGACAGACACACAAGCAAATGTACATAATACACAATAACCCTCAGACACACACATGATTACAGATTCTCCCACAGACACAGAGGCCCCCATGAGCCTCCCAGGTAGCCAGCTGGGGAGCAGGGCCAGCTCTACAAGGGGCCGGTTCCTCCCTGCATTGCCACCCCCAGAACTGCCCCAGGCAGAGGAGGTTTTCTCCTGCAGCATCACCCTAATTGCTTCCTCCACTCAGAGTGCCCTCCCCTGAGGCTGAGCAACCAGAGCCTCTGTACCATTAACCCTTTGGAGCCACATGGTCTGTAGATGGTGCAGAAATGAGGTCGGGGTGGGGCCAGAGCGGGCAGCCGGATGTGACTAATAATGCCACCTTCATTCAGCGTCTAGTGGAGGCCCTAAGAAGTGGAAGAGTCCAGTGTCAGGAACCCTGTGGACATGCTGTGCATCCTTGAGCAAGTCACTTCACCTCTCTGGGTCCACAAGGAGGTAGGCAAGCCTATGAAGCTCTGAGATGCTAAGATTTTATGACCCAGGCTTGACCCCGCTTCCATCCCCTCTCCCGGGAGCCCTCTCTCCACACCGACGTCCAGGGCCAACCCCAAAGGATACACTTGTGTGTCTGACA